CCTCATTAGCTTCTAGAGGTTTGCAAATTGTTTGCTTAATGATTTGCCCCGTTATCCTTCCGGGTTCAGAAGTTAAGCTGACTGGTCTGTAACTCCCTGGTTTGTCTTTATTTCCCGTTCTATGGATGGGCACTAGATTTGCCCTTTTCCAGGAGGGGAGCCAGCGCCCCCACGAGGGGACAGGCCCCGTGTCCCGACCCCCATCACTAACGGGGCAGCAGAGCAACGGAAGCCAGACCAACACCGGAGCCTCCCTCAGCACTGGCCCAACCGGCCCCAGGCCTGGGCCACGCTCAGCTCCTGGCCCCCAGGAGCAAGGGACAGACCCAGCCCAGGCGAGTCCCTCCCCACAGCATCAGCCTGTAACTGGGGGGGCCAGGGCACCAAACCAGAGCCCCGCTGGGCCCTCCAGCCCCACCGCCCCAGGGCAGGCTCCAGCGTCGAATAAGGGGTTCCCAGCAATCCCTGGCCGGGCCCTAGGGGAGATCCCAGAGCCTGGCAGAGGTGCAGTGGCTGGCAAGGGGAGCCCAGAGGGTCTCCACGGACGGTCTGGTCCCTCGGGGATACCAGGAGGTGGGTGTCATGCCCCCCGTGGGTGAGTGGTGACCCCGCCACGCCGGGTGCGGAGCCCCTTACCCTTGGCCGTGCTCAGCTTGCAGGTGTAGACACCGCTGTCGTCCTCGTGCACGGAGGTGAGCAGCAGCTTGCACTTGTGCCCGTCAAAGTGCATCTTGCACTTGAGCAGGGCGGGCTGCAGCAGCCGCCCCCGTGAGAGCCAGTCCACATCCAGGTCCGGCGGGCCCGTCACCAGGCACTCGAAGAGCGCCAGCTCCCCGGCCCCGACCGTCACGTCCTGCAGCGGTGCCACCACGGCCAGCGCCTGGCTCGCGGGGTGTGCTGGGGAGAGAGAAACGCACCTGAGCCACTGAACGGGGACGAGAGGGGGTGGGGGACAGGGCCCCAAGACATGCAGGGAGCAGGGGGAGGTGCAGGGCCCCCAGGGGAGGGTCAGGACCCCCAGGGGACACAGGAATGGGAGAGGGGCAGAGTGCGCTGGGAATGGGGGGATGGGCAGGGCTCCCTGGGACATGGAGGGAATGAAAGGGAGAGGGGCAGGGTGCCTGGGCAAGGGGGGGCAGGGCCCCCGGGGACACACCGGGAGTGGGGGGGCAGGCCCCTAAGGGCCCCGTGGAAGGGGTGCAGGACAGCGAGGAGGCAGCGGAGGGCAGGGGCCGCCGGCCCCACAGCAGAGGGTGACAAGGGCAGGAGGATCTGACAGGGCTTGGGGGTCAGTGCCACGAACAAACCACACAACGCTTTACCAAACACACTTTATTAGAGCTACAAAAAGGTCCCGGCCCCCAGCCCCAGCTCCCTGGGGCCGCTCCCCCCGCCAGGAGCCCCCAGGCCTGGGGACCCCCGGGGTGCCGCAGCGGGCCCTGCCAGCGCAGTGCATTGGGGGGAGCCATTTGTGCTACTTCACAGCCTGCGCCCGATGCTGGCTGGGCAGAGGCTGCTCTCCGGGGAGGGGTGGGGGGCAGTGGGTCTCCTGCCCCCGCCCCCAGGCGTGTTCGTCCAGGGCTGGCGCGGTCTCTGCAGAGAGGCTCCCCGCTCCTTGGCAGTGCTGAAGAGGAGCAGCGGGACACAGAGACGCGGACACACGGACAGACCGAGAGACAGACAGCATCACGCAGACGCCGGGCGCGGCCCGGCTGGGCCTGCAGCACCCCCTGGTGCCGTCACTGTGCTATGGCAGACTGGCCCCGCCCACGCCCCACGGCTCCGCCTTGGTTCCGCCTCCCCCGCCGGCCAGCAAGCCCCACGCCCCACAGTCCACGCGTTAGCCTTGGAGCCCAGAGTCCAGGAGGTGGCGGCGGGTCGGGGGCCAGGCCCGGGGCACCAGGCCCTGCCCCTTGGTCACTCCGTCCCTTTGGAGCAGAAGGCAAGAACGCAAGGCGAGGTCCGGTGCCTAAGAGGTGTGGTGCTAAAGAGCCCTGAGGCCGCGGCTCTGAGGGACGCGCCCCCTTATCGCACTCCCCCTGTGTACAGACAAAAACCGCAGTCAGCAAGCGGCAGGGTTAGTGAAGCCGAGACGGGCACAGGACACCGGCACACAACACGGGCACACGACACGGGCACAAACAACATCTCTGCCTGCAAAGGGGCTGGGCGTCTGCTGGGGCCTGGCCTGGGGCAGCAGGCTTCTAGTCTGCCCTAGGGGCCCAGGAGCTGCCCCAGCAGGACAGGGGCCCAGGAGCCGCCCCGGGGGTCTGGCAACCCAGCTCGGCCGTTGGCTACTAACTAAACTCCACCCCAGCAGGCATCAAACAGGCTCTGTCTCGCCTGGAGCTGCCGTGTGACCCGTGCTGGGTGGGAACGGGATGGGCCAGGCCAGCGCACAGGCAGCAGAACTGTCCCCCCCCCCCAGCCGGCCGCCTGAGAAGGCCCCAACAGGGAGGCCTGGGCCCGAGCCCTGCTGCTGGGCTCCCACTGTCCGTTTGCCGTCTGTAAGGAGGCAGCAGCTGGCATGGCCGGGAGGTGCCAGGTCTCCCAGGGATCGGTGCCACAGCATCCCGCAGGGCACTGCGGGGGCAGCGAAGGAAACGCACCAGAGCAGCAGGGCCAGGAGCCCCCGCCATGCTCAGGCCAGCACGGCCCAGCGAGCCACAGGCATCTTGTGCACGGCAAGGCACACGGGGACGGGGGGACAGAACCTGGCTGAGATGGAGCCACCCGTGTGCTCATGGGCACAGCTCTCCTCCCAGGAGGGACGCCACGAAACTCCAGCAGCAGGGACCAAACCCAAGGACACCACGCGTCCCGGCACTACAGGGCTGGGGTTGCAGGGGGCTGTGGCTCAGGATTGAGGGGGACCAGCAGAGCAGGGGGGAGCCCAGGGCTGGGACAGGAGGGGGCTGTGGGGTCAGGATTGAGGGGCACTGGCAGGGCTGTGGATGGGGAGCCCAGGGCTGGGGTTGCAGGGGCTGCGGGTCGGGATCGAGGGGTGTGACAAAGTGGGACTGTTCTTAATGTTGTCTCTGAATACTGTGTGGGTGCCTCAGTTTCCCCTATGCATTTCTTAAGTCTCTAGGTGGTGGGATAAGGGGGTCTGATTGTTGCAGAGCCCTAGGGTGCGAGTGTGATGGTGTCTGCACAGAGAATGGCCAACACCTTGTCTCCTGGCAACTGATAGCCTGGGCCCCTCCCCTGCAAGGTGCCAACTGAAGGTGTTGGAGAACAAAGAGATCAGGTGGCTTCCTGGCCCAGGAAAGGGACAAAGGCCAGAGAGGAGGGGCTGGGGGGAGTCTCTGTTTGGAGCTGGCTGGGGAAATGGAGGGAGGTCCAACACCGGCGTCTCGGCTCCCTGCCCCCCAAGATGGACTGGCCTGAGGGGTCCGGGTTTCTGTACCTACAAGCTCTGTTTTAGACCGTGTTCCTGTCGTCTAATAAACCTCTCTGTTACTGGCTGGCTGAGAGTCATGTCTGACTGCGAAGTGGGGGTGCAGGACCTCTGGCTTCCCCAGGACCCTGCCTGGGTGGACTCACTGTGGGAAGCGCACGGTGGGGCAGAGGATGCTGAATGCTCTGAGGTCAGACCCAAGAAGCTGAAGCCTTTGGGGGGAGGGATAGCTCAGTGGTTTGAGCATTGGCCTGCTAACCCCAGGGTTGTAGGTTCAATCCTTGAGGGGGCCACTTAGGGATTTGGGGCAAAATCAGTACTTGGTCCTGCTAGTGAAGGCAGCGGGCTGGACTCGATGACCTTTTGGGGTCCCTTCCAGCTCTATGAGATAGGTATATCTCCATATAAGCCATGTGAGCTTCTTGCCCTGGAGACCGTCTGCTCACAGAGAGGAGGTTCCCCCAGAGTCCTGGCTGGGTACTTAGGGAGCAGTTCCAGTGCATCGCCTGGGGACTCCGTGACAGGAGCACCGGCAGAGCTGTGTGTAGCGGGGAGCCCAGGGCTGGGGCTGCGGGTCGGGACTGAGGGGCACCGGCAGAGCTGTGTGTCGGAGGGGGGAGCCCAGGGCTGGGGTTGCAGGGGGCTGGGGGGCACCGGCAGAGCTGGTGGGGGGGAGCCCAGGCCTGGGGTTGCAGGGGGCTGCGGGTCGGGAGTGAGGGGCACCGGCAGAGCTGGGGGGGAATGGCGGGAACAGGGGTCAGGACAGATCTGACTTTTCTCTCGGTTCTACAGAGCAGTTTGTCCATCTCCAGTGGATCCAACACCCCCCCACACCCCACCCGCGCCAGTGCCGCCCAGGCACCGGTCCCCGCCGAGGGCCGTGGAGACGCAGGGCCGGGCAGCAGCAGAGCCAGGCAGACGTGCCTCACCCTGTCCTGGGAGCAGCTCCTCTCTGGGGCCCCCCCGGCCCCCCAGCCCAGCGTGGAGGGGCGTGGCCAGGCCTGGGCGTTACCTCGGACCTGCAGCTTGGCCTCGCACTGCTTGGTGCCGTACTCGTTGATGGCTTTGCAGGCGTAGAAGCCGGCGTCCGCGCGCTCTGCTGCCAGGATGTGCAGGGTGCAGGCGCCGCCCTCCCCTTCCGCCACGGAGAGCCGCCGGCCCACCTTCACCGGCTGCCGGTTCCTCAGCCTGCGGGGGATGGGGGGGGGGGGACAGTCAGAGCCAGCCCCGACCCAGCGGGCGCGTCCCACCTGGCACTGACCGAACCCAGGACTCTCACCTGCCTCCTGCCTCACCCAGCCCCAAGGCCAGCCTCTGCTCCTGCCCTGGGCAGGATGGGAGCCAGCGCCCCCTAGAGGGGACAGGCCCCATGTCCCATTCCCTGCCCCCCCGGGCCAGCCAGTCGATGCCCCATTCCCTGCCCCAGCCAATCCCTGCCTTGTGCCCCATTCCCTGCCCTCCTGAGCCAGCCAGTCCCTGCCCCATATCCCATTCCCCGCCCCCCTGAGCCAGCCAGTCCCTGCCCTGTGTCCCGTTCCCATTCAGACTGTTGCTGTCCTGTTGCAGGAGAGTTCCGGCAGTAACACTAATGGCCCGGGGGCCCGGGACTCCCCCCTGCCCCTCCCCCCGTGCCGGAGGACTCACCAGTAGATGATGGGTTTGGGTTCGCCCCGGACCCGGATGCTCATGCTGACGTCCTGCCCCTCCAGCACCGACTGGTCACACAGAGCCAGCTGGGACGGGAAGCACATGGGGGCAGGGGTCAGACAGGGTGCACAGCGAGTGTCCAACTGCCCACGGGCACCAGAGCAGGGCGTGAGGGGCACCCCAGCAGGGCAAGACCAGCCAACAGGAGCCGCTGTCCCAGAGCCCATGGGGCAGGGCGGCCCAGGCGGTGTCCAGGCTACAGCAGGGCTCAGGGGGAGGGTGACCCCGGGGCACCAGGACCTGCGGGCAGACAGGTGGGGCTCCCACCCCGGGACCCGGGACCCACCCACTCACCTCAAAGGTGGGGGCAGCCTTGAAGTTGGTCTCCACGGGGCTGCGGGCGGCGCCGAGGTCGACTTTGTGCTGCAGCTTCCCGGCCAGCCGGTGCTGGGGGGTCCCGGACGCTGGGAATTCCTCCAGGGGGCTCAGGTACTCCTCGTCTGACGTGATGGGGCTGGCCAGGGCCAGGGGGGGCGGCAGGGACCCCTGGCTCTCCGCAGGGGGCGCTGGCTCAGGAGAGAGCAGGCAACAAAGCTGGTTAAGGGTGCCAGGTCCCCTGGGCATGGCAAGCCCCTGGCTGGGATGGCAGCACCAGGCGAGGTGCCAGGGACAGGACGGGCAGCAGGGCACCCAGGGGGGCAGCATGCACAGGGCAGAGCAGCCAGGGCACCGCTCAGCTCCATCACCCCCCCGGCCCTGCCGTCTCTCAGAGCCCAGGCTGGGGCAAGCCTCACCCTGACACCCCGGCCCGAGAGGAGGGGATGGATGGGACCCTGCAGCAGCGAGTGTGGGGTGCGGCTGCCCAGCCCAGCGTGGGGAGAAGGCCCGGCAGACGATAAGGGGTTGAGATAGGGGGCCAGGCTGGCTCACGAGGCAGCTGCCGTCCGTCCGCCCGCCTGGCTCTCCAGGGCTGAAGGTGACATTGGCAGCGGTGCTCACGCCAGCGGCGGGGTCCTGTCCCCTGGACCGTGCCGCAGAGGGGACCAGGCCCCGCGCAGGCCGGTGACCCCGGGACAGGGACCTGGGGCTCGTCTCCAAAGGCTGCCGGGGGCAGCAGATGCTGCTGACGAGGAGGCTGGGCCTGGCAGGCGAGCCCCCGGGCACACCTGTCAGGCACGGCCCCCGGGCACGGCCCCCGGGCACAGCCCCCGGGCTTGCCCAGAGCAGTTGCCCAGAGCAGTTGCAGCGGGATGCTGAGGGGCAGGGGCTGACTGAGCATCGCCTGTCCAGGGGCTCAGGGCTCAGGCCTGGCTGCCAGGGCGGCCCAGAGACAGGCCAGCAGCCAGCCCCCTGGGCTGGGAGCACAGACCCATCCCAGCCACTCGTGTGCCAGGGAGCCCTGGCCAGATACCAGGGTGACAGGCTCAGGCATCTACCCCACAGGACAGGCCACGTGCCCGTTGCTCTGGGGAGCCGGGTGGGGATGACAGATCAAGGGCGCCAGGCTGCCCTGCCCCCCACGTGCTCAACCCCCC